TACAATGCAGCAAATATGCAACACTTGAAGCTGTGCTCCTTCCATCGAAATAAAATTAGTGGATCGTTTGGGTGGGCAACTCACGGTAAAAGTTCAGTGACAAAAAGACTTAATGGGGAAAATAAGACAGAAACTTGAAAAACAATACACCGTCTAAAGGGGATACTATTTAATTATATAAAGGCAGGTAATAAAATACATTTCTCTCTTTCTAATCAGGCAGTGAGGCATAAACTGTTGGGACATACCGCTCGGGGCCACTGCTGTCTGGGACTGAAACACTGGCATTGTACTGCATTGGTCATTGGCGTTCGTGGATGTTGGCATTGGGCATGGGCATTCAATCAGAAGTTGTCAAGTATGGTACCCGTTTGGCAACGAGCACATTTTTGGGCATAGCCAACCAGGGTTTTCACATGGGCGTTCAGGGGCGGATGGGCCAACGTCATGGTGGGCAACGCAGGGGTAAGTCGATCCAGTACATGGGCAACGGAGATATATGGCCAAAAAAACAAGGAGAGGGAAAAGGGGGAAAAGCAATAAATTTTAATTTAATACAAACTATACTCATACTCTCAATTAATGAAACAAGCTTAAGTTGTTCTGAAGACTAACACAATAATGGACTTCTCTATATCTGACAGTGGCTTAACATTTAAGGATCTTAAATGATGGTTCTAGGCTTTTTTTTTTTAAACAAACGATGCTTCAGTAGCAGGCTGGCTCATGAGGGTAGACACAAAACCTGTCATGACTCAAAGTTTACTGAAATTCCTGAGGAAAATGGGGAATTTAATAACCCAGATAATACCAGAACATCTGGATTAAGAGGAGAGAGGTTTATAAAAGACAAAACAAAAATTCCCACACCAAAAATCCCAACTAATAAAAGACTCTTTTCCTGAGGTTTTAAAACGCATTCCTAGATCTTAAAAGGCAGGTATGTAAAATTCTAAACAAAATTTCAAGTTCAGTTTACAGTATCAAGAGGAACATACAAAGATCTGCGACCAAGAAGAGAAATGAAATACTGTCAAATAAGTACTCAACACAAAGTTATTTGCCTCAATTTTAGCAAGAAAAACATTCAGAAATGTGTACACTATGAGAAAAAAAAAATCCAGAAATTTTGGTGTAGCCAAGTCCTATAAATACACTAACTTCTGATGCTGCCAATACTTAAATGTGTCTAATCACAAGAGTCAACCCACTATAAAATATGAATACTCGATTCATAGGCATTGACAAAGGTTTCCTGATTATAAGTGTTCTTTATCCATATTTAGATCATGCAACCTCAACATTAAAATCTTGGTGCTCCATGTGCAAGCTGTTAAAGAACAGATGGGTGTTTTAAAAAAAAGGGAAAAGAAAAAGTTCTGGGTTCAATCAGCCACCTATGATGGTTTTGGGTAATATTGTCATGCACATGGGAAATGGTGCAATCAAGGGCTTTTACACTGTCACTATGTTATCTTGTGAGTGAGTAATTTGGTGGAATCTTATTAGAAAGTGAAAAGGTTTAGGTAAACCTTTCACCCTGCTCAATCTGAGCTTGTATAAAACAGGAACAGCAAACCTTGAAATCATCTATGTAATTAATTTTTACAAATGGCTTGTAGCTACATTGTGACTTCTAAGATGTAAACCTTTAAAAATTCTAGAAACACATAAACTGAATCTGTTTGTTCAGTAATTTAAATCTATACTTACGTCTGTCCGGAGAGCCTTAATATTCTTGCCTCCTTTCCCAATCACTGCCCCAGCATTCTGGAAAAAAAGTAAAAGAAATAAAAATTATTTGGCCTACCTTTAAAAATAATCTCTACCTGTGACTTCTGAGTTTAACTAAAGCATATCCAATATATTTGTGAGAGGACTAGAAACCTATCAGATATCAAAATCAATCACAGAGGTGGATGACAACATGGAAACAAAGATTCTGTATGTGCTACAAACATTAAGGTTTTAAGGAATCATACCCTCCCCTTCCCACTAAAGTAGTCGGACCTGTAATTGTTCACCACAGCAAATGCTTTCGCTGCAATTAATTGTAATCACAAAATTGAACACTATTCTTCATCATAAAGTTGTGAAGCTTCACCAGAATTTACCTTGATCCATTCAAATTTTCAAGAATAAAAGTTCATACCTTGCTCTGAAGCAGAATTCGTAATTCAACCATCTCATCAGTGTTTCTAGATCTTTTAAAAGCTTGCTCCTCTTCCATATCTTCTGCAGGGCGCTTACCTAGAAATTAAAATTCAGATTTCAAAGAAGGCATTCTTCTAGAAAAAGCACTATAAGGCACTACTACATAGTCTATGCTTCCTTCAGAAGTTAACACAAGCCAAGATTCTTGGGAGACTTTAGAAGTTACAAAACGCATGGAAACTTCTTGCTCATCAATAAAAGCAAAGTCATAACTGATACAAAATTTATGTAAGAGGTACCAAGAACACATTTAACTGTTAATTATAAACGACATTAAAATTAACAGAATAGGAAAATAACTAAACAAAATGTCTTCTCACCAAATTCACCATTGGTTTCAGTGTTGGGGAAGGTTTCCTCTGGCTGTTCAGTTTCCATTTTCTTGTATTAAATGGACACACCAATCTGTTGAAAAATAAAGAAACCTAGTACATATGTGGCTGTCTGGAAAATAAGCTGTTCATCTTGCCAGATTATACTCTTTAAAAAACAGAGCTTTGCTTCTACAACATACCAGTTATTATATTTCCTTGCAGAGCAAAACTGTAGTGTTCTGGGCAGGACCAATAACTGACACACTACTGCTGCAGTAGCCTATAAAAACCAACACAAATCAGTTTTTCTTCTTTTATATTACCGAATAGTAATTTCTGATCACAACACTGACTCGAATATGACAAACTACCTATTTGTAGACGCACTCTTCATTTTTGGGTCTAAAAATCCAAGGAATCTCAATTTTTGCAAAAAAGAAAAAACAATAATTTGTAACCAGGGAATTGTCCCTCACCATAGCAACTCGTTTCATTCTGTACTTTCATTAAAGCCTAAAAAAGCCTAACTCTGTGGCCTCAATTTTGCCTACCAAACATTTCATAAGATACAATGCATCTTAATAATCACAAAAGACATTAAAATTTCAAACTGCTTTTAGGTTTCTTCGTCGACTTGAAACACTATTCCCTGAAATCTGGAAAGTTTACACATGCAAATGTAAACCATATCTAACGAGATCAATCTAGTGGAGGATAAATTCTAAAACGTTGATTAAAGATCATACTCAAACTACCACTATTATTCAACAAAGCTAGTGGAGTTCTTGAACTAACACCATGACTACCAGAATATTAAATTAGGCTAAAAATTTTGTAAATATGTATCATCAGTAAAAAACTAAAAATTATACTGCCACAATGTCGAAAAGACCGGTAGACAAGACATGTGCCTCCCCCCAACCAGTGGCTAGAAACACGGGGCTGAAAGTCACAACATTTATGCCTCCTATTCTACCAAAACGTTTGTTGATGTATATCACTCTCCTAACGACCAACTGAAAAGACATCCCTTCAGCCCGTCAGTCAGTTCAATTCCCAGGGCAAGTAGACGATCTAGAAAGCAGACTTAATGGGGGGGGGGAACCCCAAGAGCGTCTTTCAGTAAAGACAACGCTGCCGCGCGCGATTCATCCTTCAGGTCCTGTAACCATTTCTCAAGTCTCAGAAATTCGTTCCGTATTTGCTCGACCAGCCGAGCGCAAACATGCCTTGCCTTCCTAATCCCACCTCCCAACACCCGGACGGGCAACAGCCAAGTTAAAACTTGAAAAAGCCAGTTCAAGTAGAAGCGCCGCACCTCTCCTCACCCGGATCCGACAGGAAATGGCGGCCCGCGTAATGGCGACTACGTGCTACTAGGCGGAGCCGAGAGCGGACCCCCTCCCCCACCCACCACGCGGTCCCGAGATCTCGTCCCCCGCACCCTCCCCCCCCACAGACCGGGAAGACAAAGCAACGGAAGCAGCCCCGACCATTCCACGTCCCGCTCCAGCTCCGACCTCGAGTCCCGAGAGTCACAAGTGAGGCGCGCCCCACACAAAGAAAGCGGCGCCGAGGCGTCCCCACCGCCTCGGACACCCGCCCACCGGCTTTTCTTCCCCCTATAAAATGCGCCCAGTTCCCAATATTCCAAAAGTACACCTTATCCCACAGACACATGCCTCACGAGCCCCTCAAAGTCTCTAGTACCACAACGCAACAGCAGATAGACACTCAGAGAAATGGCGGAGGTGGGGGAGGGGAAGCCGGTCAACGTTTCCCCTAAGAGAAGCGGCCAACCACCAAGCAGCCCTAGAACGCCTCCCTCAAGCGGAAAAACTGCGCTACGACCCTCACCCCACGCGCTGCCCTCTCAGCCCCACTCCTCACCGCGCGAATCTGCCGTCCCCTCACGGCCGCGCCGCCTCAGACGGTCACAGCTAGACAGAGAACAGGCGCAGGCCCCCTCCTCCGCCTTCTCACGCCCTCCCACCCCGCCGTCGCGCCCAATTGGATACTCGGGCTTCAGCGGTGGTGCGAGGACGAAGCGATTGGCCCAGAGATGCATCAATCAAGGCAACAGAAGAGGCGAAAACTGCGCCTCCCGCCGGCGCCTCCCTTCAGGCTGTAAGGCCACAGGCCCGAGAAAGCCCAAGCTTGGAAAACGTCAACGCAGCCTTTCAGAGATGCCATCCCCCCGCCCGAACCCATAAAACCCAAGTCCCAGTAATTCCAATTACCTATGGGCCCCAAACAAGTGAAATGCAGGCAAATCGTCGAGGTCGGTGCAGCAGAGAAACAGAGAATAATGGCGACTGCAGTGCTGTCGCCTGGAGCTCCCTCCTCCTTTCTCGTTCGCGCACTGACTAGCCGAGGGGAGGGGAGGGGGAAAGCGTCTCGCGAGATCTAAAGTCTGCTTGGTTCACGCGCACAGGCAGGGGGCGGCGAAGGGGCGTTTTCCAGCCCGGAGGGAGTCTTTTGGGGTTGGAGGAGGGGCGCGAGCGCGGGGCAAATCTGGCGGGAAAAGGCAAAAAAAAAAAAATTAGGTGGCGCGCTGTGGCGATTTCAGTTCTCAGGGCGCGGCCCAGGATCCGCTGTTGCACGAGGAAGGCAGAACGCCCAGGTCGGTGCTCGGCCCAGATCTATAACCCCCGTTTCTACAGTTCACACTTGCGTCTCCCTCCCTCCCTCCCTGGCTTTCTCCTCCCCTCCCCGGGCTGCCGGGCTGCGGGACCAGCTGCGCGGTGGTAAGTGCAACGCGCCTACGCCTCAGAGACCCGATGTTTGTAGCGGTCTACCGTGCCAGTCAGGCGCAGCCCGCGGTTCGCGGCCCGCTTATCTCTGGGGCGGGATCCGGGAAAACGCGCGGACAGCCTGGACTCTGGGAGGGCTGCTCAGGTTTCGCCCCGGAGTCAGTGCTCTCCGTTCTAATGAGACTTCTCGTTTCTTTCTTCTTTTTTATCTTAATGGGCCCTGTGATGCAGGTATTTGTAGTTTAGTCGTTGTAGTTTGAGAAAAACTTAAGTATTGTTCATCTGCTAAAATGCTAATCGCAAAATGTGCTGCAGACATCCGCATTCCGTTCATTCAACTCCAAAGCGCTTACCTTGAGTCATGGGATTGGGCAGTGATGAAAACACAAGTCCTCCTCCTCAAATAGCTCCTCCTCTGGCCTGTTCCGTTTACACTTGTTTTGTAAGACCCCTGCGCCAAGTTATGATGACTTATTTTGTTAAAACGCTTAAGGTCATGGGAAATCGTTAGCTCTGCTAGTACCTGGCTTTTCGCATGGTTGCTCAGCCTTCCATCTTCCACCCATCATTCCAAACGCAAGCTGAGCGTAAAGATTTTGTAATCTACCCATAAGGCTATATCTGCTATAGAAATACATGTGTGTGTACGTACAGAGAGAGAGAGAGAAGATTGTGTGGTAATGAATTTGTGCTGATTCGTTACTGCTATAACAGTTTCTTGAGTAATTTGCAACATACTTTTAGCAACATTCTTTTAAGTAGCTTTGTAGTAATTACTTTCGTCCATTATTTACTTGCATGATTAGGAAGAAAACTCTTGTTAGGACTTTTGAAGTACCAACATTTACATTCTCGGAAGATGCCTCGACAAAAACTATTAAGAACACAGCGTTTGGGGTTGTGCAGCTTCTAAAAGTCCTTAAATGTTAATGCAATTTTCAAATGCTCCCACCATGAAAAATGTATTTGTTAAAGAAGTAAAACTGAGCTCACATTTTAGTTAGAAAGTACAAAGTTAGGATTTTTGTTAAACCTTCACCCAAGAATTGATGAGTGTATGTAGGGGCTGGTAATACATTATGGAGATTTAATCTGCTAGTCAGGATTTGCAACATTTAGTTGAGTCTCACTAAAAATATGGGGTGTTTCACTAACACTAATAAGCACATATAAGAGAATTGTAATAATGATGCTTTTAAAAAAGTTAATAGTTTTGTTGCATCTATGTTATTCTGCCTTGATAAGCGGTGAAAAGTGGGAATCCAACGGAAGCAGCAAGCAGCTCTGGAGAGGGCCAGCTTCCTCCCAATACCACTGTCTTGACTAGACCATAATATGTCAACTTTCTTTAGATGCTATTGTGAGATTGTTATTTGGTCTTGCCTCCATTTGTCTTTCTTATCTCTTCTATTTGCTCTTTTTGTTTCCTCCTTAGATAACAGGAACTCGTCTTTTCTCCATCCTTTCATTTTTTATTTAAAATTGCGAGTTTTAACAGTATGAAACCTGTGCCCAGGACTGGCAGTATTTTCTTAGTGACAGAGCACTATCCCCAGCACCACAAACACAAAAATCTGTGCTCATTCAAAGACTTGTGATTCCATTTAATTCATTCAGTGGCTTCTGTCTGGTGTAATTGTTTGGAATAAATGGTGTAGTGATGATTTTGGGCCTTCAGTGATTTTAGAGATAGTATTAACTGTGGCCTTTATTTTAGTTAGGCTAATGTAATTGACATTATACACTAGCCAACTGGATTGTCATTTAAATATTTTTTATAACTACCATTTCCTGAATTCCCCATTATGTGCTAGACAGGGTGCAGTAATGTTTAATTACACCCTTTTGAATAAGTTGTGGTTATCTTTGGGGTTTGCTTTGTTTGTTTTATGGAGGAGAGAATTAAGACTAAGAAGGATCACAGTAGAATTGAGTTTCAGACTTTTATTCTGTCTTTTCCTACATTAAGTTATGGAGCATCTACAAAAAGCTCCTCTGATTGCTTTTCTGATTTTAGTCATTGTAGATTTTTTTCCTCTCTAATTTTTAGAGTACCTTCTCAGAATTCCAAAATTATTATGAAATCATCCCCCCAAAATTAAGACACAGACTTACATTTGTTTTTTTAGATGAAGGTAATGGACACATAGAATGGATTTAAATATTTTTATTGTTGCTGGGCCTGGTGGTACACACCTTTATTCCAGTAAGAGGCTGAGGCAAGAGAATTGCAAGTTTGAGGTCAGCCTTTGCAATCTAGCATGACCCTGACTCAAAATTAAAAATTAAAAATGATTGGGGATATAGATCAATAGCAGAGTGCCCTTGGCTTCTACTCCCAGTAGCAAAAAACAAAAACAAAACTGAATTAAAAAAACAAACAAAAAGAAGTTAAGTGTTTTTAAATTTTAGTTATTGATTGAATGCCACATACTATATCCAAAAGGATGGTAGCTTTTTCTGTTTTTAAAATTGGGTGAGTGAGGCTGATTGAATTAATCTGTAAGTCAACCTTATAGATTGACTTTTTTTTTTTTTTTCTGGTACACAATTTAAAAGATATCTTTTCCAAATTTATTTTTATCTTGTGCAGTGGATGAAGATCAGAAGCTATTCTTTGTGTATCAGCAGATGGGAAATTGTGCTGCCCTAGCTAACCTCTCTTTTGAGCTGCTACTAGCTGCTGTGACTGTGGGTGCTCAGTTTCTCAAGAAGGGAAGGGATGAAAACCTTAAGAATTCTCTGAAGGACTAGATGCTAGTAATACAATTTACCAAATGATTAAGGTTCTCATTTATTGAATCCCAGTCTAAACCGTGTAATGTAACCAGCATGGTGGTGCATGCCTGTAATCCCAGCAACTGGGAAGGCTGAGGCAGAAGGGTTGGAAGTTTGAAGCCATCCTCAGCATTTAATGAGACCCTGAGCAATTTGGCGAGACCCTGTCTCAAAATGGCGATGTAGCACAGTGGTAGACAGTGGTAGAGTGCCCTGGGTTCAATGCTGGAGATGGGAGCGGAGCCGGGTGGGGTGGGGTGGCATAATATAGATCCTGTGTGTTAAAAGTTTTTTGTTGTTGTTTTTTCATTACCCTAGTACTAGGGGTTGAACTCTAGGCCTGGCACATGCCAGGTAAGTGCTCTACTGCTGTGTTATACCATAAGCCTTTTTAAGTTTTATTTTGAATCAGGATCTCACTATTGCTGAGGCTGGCCTCATATTTAGTGATCTTCTTGCCTCAGTGTCCTGAGTAGCTGGGATTATAGGCATGCTCCACTGCCTCAATTAAACATTTTAACAAACATTTCTTTGTAATCCAAAGGAAAGAGTCCTATTTTTTAATCATCTTTTTATTAAAATTCTGATATGTTATATGGACTATATATGTGTTCTGGATTAATCATACCTTCTACTTTGCTGAGGTGAAAAACTCTGTGTAACAGACATGCATTTAGCAGTCTATCCCCCACCCCCACCCCCAAGTTCTTGACTTTTTGGTAAAATATTTGAGAATAGCTGTATTTTGAGTGCTTGTACAATGTATCACTCATAACATTTGCTTGTGTTTTACTAATGTCCTGTTTTTTCTTTGTTTGTTTATGATAACATTACTATCAAGTTATGGTATGTCAGTTGAGATTACAGAAGTATTGAGATTCAAATCTGGAGGGCAGTACTTGGAATTATTATTTAGGACTGGCACACATTAACAGAACAATTTAGTTCATATGGTTTAATGAACAGTGTTTTTTAGAATTTGATCTACTTGTCAGCTGAAAGGAGTTTTGTTACTTTGTGTCTTCAGTAGCACATACTGGGAAATGCATGTTTCAAATTAAAACAAAAATTGACATATAAGCATTAAAATGTCAGTTTATAATATTTTGAAAAATATAAAAATTATTCTATGTGGCATTTTAGTCTTACAGAGAAAGGAAAAATACTGTTTAGCTATAACACTGTTGTTTTGACACTATCACAAAGGTAAAAGTAAGTAGAAGTTTTTAAGTTTTTTATTTGACTTTGTAAATGAAAGAATTTAGAGTATGCTAGGTAAGGTTATTATTTACATGAAGTCTGACATACTGATGGCATCTGTTGTTACACTTTTGTACATGTACTCAATACACAGTGTAACAATCCTTATCTTTAATTCTCTGTTTATACTCTGTTTGTTTTAATAATAGTGTGATACTCTTATAAAAATGACCATTTATTTGGATTTTTATCTAAGGGACTGGGTATACTTTCCCTTTGTGCTTAAGTAAATACAGTCTGGAAAAAGGTATAGGAATAGAAATGAACAGGATTTAAGTTCTAGCTCTGTGTCTACTGATCTTTATGCCTTAATCTTTGTACCTCAGTTTCATCATCTGTCAGGCAGATGGTAATATCTTGTCTATTGCAGATTATTATTTTGAGGGTTAGATAATGCTGCAGATATAAGTATTTTGAAAAAAATTAAAATCTTAAAACTAAGAGCTTTGAATTTATTTTCAGCAAATCCTTATCTTTAATTCTCTGTTTATACTCCTGTACCTGCTGGAATATAGGACTGATATCTCTGAAGTTATCCTTTTCATTTCATTTTTTGTCTAACCTTGACCTTTTCTATTCACAATTAGTCTTTCTTCCTTTCTTGCTAGTTCCTGCCTCCTTCTAAAAATCTAAACACTATCATCTCATGGTATTTAATAGGGTCATGTGGAAAATAGCATTTGTGTTACTTGGCTGCAAATAATAACTTAGGGGCATATATTCTATTCAGAATGATGTATAGGATAAAATATTATCCAAGCATTTTAGCTGTAATTATGCATTTATAATTCACTGAGACAATTTATAACTCTGCTGAATTTGTACTTTGTTCTCCTTTCAGTTTACTTGATGACCATAATCACATTACCACAACATCTTTGAAAATTAGACTAGGTTCATTTGCCAGCACTGTGGTGTTTAAATTTTAGTGGAGGAAATAAGTACCATATTGAATCAGGGCAGCTAAGGGCTATAGATCTAGCTTAATTTTTGAGATTAAAAAAATTACAACAGGGCTGGGGTTGTAGCTCAGTGGTAGAGCGCTCGCCTAGCACGTGCAAAGCCCTGGGTTCGATCCCCAGCACCACATAAAAATAAATAAATAAAATAAAGGTATTGTGTCCAACTACAATTAAAAAAATAAATATAAAAAAATATAACAGGTGCAATTAAATTGCACTTTGAAATCTTAGGTCACATGAGTACAGATCTCAGTATTGAGGAAAAGGTATTTCCAAGCTATGACATGGAATCATGTTGAGCGGTTTTAACATGCCCTTATTAAAATCTTTTTTTCCCCACATTTTTATTGGTGCATTATAGTTGTACATACTGATGGCATTTGTTGTTACACTTTTGTACATGTACTCAATACACAGTGTAACAACATAATTTGGCCAGTATCACTTCTCAGCGTTTCCCTGATCCCTCCCCACCTCCCACCCCTTGGTCCCTTTCCTCTACTGATGTCCCTTTGATTTTTATGATATCTGCCCCATCTTTCTTTTCCTTTTCCACTTCTAGCTTCTGCATATTAGCATACCTTTATTGTAATTAATTTCATATTTTGGTGTTGGTTTTGTTTTAGGTCTCACGTTTTGGTGAAGCATTCATCTGGTTTTGGTTTATACAATTTGAGACTATTTTTTAATAGGTGAGTTTAACCTATTATGTTCATTATTGTTGCTGACAGATTTGGACTGTTTCTATTTATAGCACTTATCCACTCTTTGTGCCTTTTCTTGAATTGTTTTCTTCTGTTTTCCTTAGCTAGTGTGAAAGGTAGTTAATTATATTTCTCTTCTTTTGATGTTTACCTTTAGTTTTTCTATTGGGCCATAATTTACACTCAATAAAATTTATACTCTGGTGTAAGTTCTGTAAGTTTTGATAACACATGTACCTGTAGTCAGTGTAACTACCACAATAACAGTTCCATTGACCCCAAAATTTCTTTGTGTCCCTTTCCACACTCCAAGCCTTTGGCAACCATTAAATTGTTTTTTGTTTTTGTAGTGTTACATATTCCAGAATTTCTTATAAATGAAATTATATATTCTTTGGCTTCATTTACTGCATTTGTGTTTTTGTGTGCATTAATACTTTTTTTTTTTTTTTTTAATTACTAAGTAGTATTTTACTATTTGGGTATACCATGCTTTGTTATTTATTTGCCAGTTGAAGTACATGTTTCCAATTTCTGTGTTTATGAATAAAGTTACTATAAATGTTCACAGTCAGGATTTTTTTGGGGTGGAGGTGGTGGTACCAGGAATTGAACTCAGGGGCACTCAACCACTGAGCCACTTCCCCAGCCCTATTTTGTATTTTATTTAGAGACAGGGTTTCACTGAGTTGCTTAGTGCCTCACATTTTGCTGAGGCTATCTTTGAACTTGCAATCCTCCTATCTCAGCCTCCCAAACCTCTGGGATTACAGGCATGTGCCATAGCATCCGGTGCCCACAGTCAGTTTTTTTTTGGAGGTGGGGAGGGCCAAGGATTGGATTCAGGGACACTCAGCCACTGAGCCTTATCTCTATTTTGTATTTTATTTAGAGACAGGGTCTCAATGAGCTACTAAGCACCTCTCTCTGTTGCTGAGGCTGACTTAGAACTCATGATTCTTCTCTAGCCTCCCAAGCCACTTGGATTACAGATGTGCTCAACAGTCATGTTTGTATTGAATGTATTATTTATTTTATTTATTTGTATTATTTATTTTATTTGGTGCCAGGGATTGAACCCAGTGATGCTTAACCCCTGAACCATATCCCTAGCCCTTTTGACACAAGTTGATCAATTTTGTTGCCCAGTACCTTCCCTATTTTATTTTATTTAGAAACAAAGTCTCATTGAGTTGCTTTAAGACCTCGGGAAGTTGCTGAGGCTGGCTTTGAACTCTGATCTTCCTGCTTCAGCCTCCAGAGCTACTGGGATTACATGTATGTACCACTGTGCCCAGCTTCATAATTTTGGCTATCTAATATGTGCATAGTGGTATAACATTGTGAATTTAATTTTCCATTTCTCTACTGTATTTTATTTAGAGACCTTGTCTCTAAATAAAATAATATTGAACATCTTAAGTTGGGCATGATGGCATGTGCCTATTGTTCTAGCTACTCAGGATGGCTTGAGCTCTGGAGTTTAAGACCAGCCTGGGCAATGTAGCAAGTGCCTATCTCCATAATCAAAAACACAAGAGAGAGAAAGAACAGGCAAGCACATATGTTTTTATTGTCACATTGTAACTATAAAATTTGTGGAGAGCTGGAGTTGTAGTTCAGTGGTAAGAGTGCTTGCCTGGCATGTGTGAGGCACAGGCTTTCTCAGCACCACATAAAAATAATCAAATAAAATAAAGGTGTTTATCTACAACTAAAAAAAAATAGTGGAATCCATTGTGATATATTTGTGTATATACACAAGTTGGTCAATTTCATTATCCAGTTCCTTCCCTATTCCCTCACTCTATCCTCTCCACTACTGATCTCTCTTCTATTGTCATGAAAATTCCCTCTGTCCTCTCTCTTCTCTAGCTTTTGCATAAAAGAGAAAACATTTGACCCTTGATTTTGAGTTTGGCTTATTTCATGATATATTCCAGTTCCATCCATTTACCTGCAAATGACATAATTTTGTGCTTTATGACTGTATAAAATTCCATTATGAGTACTAGACTGGTTCTGTAACTTGGCTATTGTGAATTGTGGTGGCATAAACCTGTATGCATATATGCTATAGTATGCTGATTTTAATTCTTTTGGATAAATGCTGAGGAGTGAGATCTGGGTCATGTGGTGGTTCCATTTCTAATCTTTTGAGGAACCTCCATTACTGATTTTGGTAGTGGTTGTACTAATTTACAATTCCACCAGCACTGTATAAATGTTCCTTTTCCCCCACATTCTTTCTAGAATTTTTTATTGTATGTATTTTTGATGATTGAGAGCCTCTATTCATGTGTTTGTTTGCCATGTACATATTTTTGTGTGTGAAATATGTGCTCAAATCTTTTGCTGATTTTAAGATTTTTGTTTTCTTACTAAATTTTAAGAATTCTTTACATAGTCAGGATGTAAGTCTAGCCTCTGTTTCTCCCAAACTGTGGTAGCGTGTGTGTCTTTTTATAGTCTTATCTATGTTTCACAGAGATGTTTTGTATATGTTGTAAGATAAGGTCTGTTTAAAGTCTTTAGCATGTAATATCATTTGTTGAAAAGAAGACTATACCTTTCCCATAGTCAGCCACTATTGTCAAAAATCATTTGACCAGACACATGAGGGTTTATTTCTGGGCTCTCTGTTGTGTTCCATTGGCCTACAGGTCTCTCTTATACTATTTTTCCTTGTTTAAACTATGTGCCTTTTATTTCTTTCTGTTGCCTTATTGTTAGTACAGTGTTGAAATACTGACAGTAGACATCCTTGCTTTGTTAAGTTTATGATCTTTATTTTATTTATTTATTTATTTTTGGTATGAGGGACTTAACCCAGGGATGTTTAACCACTGAGCCACATCCCTAGCTGTTTTTATGTTTTATTTTGAGACAGGACCTTGCTAAGTTGCTTAGGGCCTCATTAAATTGATGAGGCCGGCTTTGAACTTGCAGTCCTCCTGTCTCAGTCTCCCCAAGTCATTGGGATTATAGGTATGTGCTACCATGCCCAGCAATACCTTTTAAGTTTTAAACACATATACTCTTGTGCTATTTTGTTCATTGCTAGTAGCAGTAATGAAGAACTTAGAAAGATGGAAGATAAAGTTAAGAAAATTTTCATCTACATCATAAACAACTAGAAAAATGAGAAGTTATACTCCATTTATGTATGATATGTCAAAATGTATTCTGTCATGTATAACTAATTAGAACAAATTTTTAAAAATTTGAAAAAAAAACTTTTGGGGGGGGGTACCAGGAATTGAACACGGGGGCACTCAGCCACTGAGTCATATCCCCAGCCCTGTTTTGTATTTTATTTAGAGACAGGGTCTCACTGATTTGCTTAGCGCCTCGATTTTTGCTGAGGCTGGCTTTGAACTCACCATCCTCCCAAACTGCTAGGGTTACAGGCACGCACCACTTCTCCCAGCAATAAAAAAAAAGTCTAAACATTAAAATCAGTGCAAAGAAATCACTGAAACCTAGACGATAGAAGAAATGTGTTATACATAAATCATTTAAATATCAAATTTTAAAGTGTTCCCCCCCCCCCCCGCCATATTGGGGGATTGAGGGGTTGGGGATTTAGCTGGGTGGCAAAATGCTTGCCTAGCATGTATAAGACCCTGAGTTCTGTCTTTGGCCCTGAAAAAAAAACTGGAAAAAAACCAAGGTTAACAGCATAGGGAATTGAACCTAGGCATGCTCTACCACTGAGCTCCACCGCAGACCTTTTTTAAAAAAGTTGTTTTTTTGTTTTTGTTTTGTTGTTGTTGTTGTTTGTTTGTTTGTTTTAGGCAGGATCTTGAAGTAGCTGAGCCTGGACTTGAACTTTCGATCCTCCTGCCTTTGTTACAGGTGCACAGGTTAAAGCATTTTGAAAAAGACATCCCTTGCTCCCCACTACTATAAGCATTTCAAGTGGATTCTATTTTGTATTTACTGTGATATCTCTGAAAACCAGGCATAGATTTCTGCTTCTTGTTTTTCAGTTTTAGTTTTTCTGTTGACTTTTACCTTAGAGATGAGGATTTGGTCTCACCTATCTTTCTCACTGTCCTTCATCTCCATCCTCACACATGGTCATGTTAAAATTTTTGTCTGATTAGTATTTAGAGTGTGTATTATTTATGACTACATATATGATGCCTACAACTAGGTCATGTTGTATATAAATAGTGCTGTATCTCTTCTCTACAACCTTTGTTTTTCTCTTGAGTTATCTTGCTTTATTTTCAGAGGAAATAAATATAAATACAATATTCTATATATTATCAACCTCCGAACTATTTTGGTTATTTAAATCTCCTCTCTACATTGAGAGGCATCAGTGTTCCAGTGTCACAAAAGAGTAAATCAAGAAAAATGATTATGTGAAAACCTGAATATAGTGGTCTTACACAGTTTCATCTTGTTGAAAAAATAATCTATCCTGAAGCCCTCTGACTGTTTGTCCTTATATTCCTTAAATACCCTTCACCATGTTTTACCCTTCTTTTGTGTAAGACCTCATGTGTTCTTCTTTCTTGATTTATTTCTTTGTTATGTTAGGGCACATCTTCTATAATTGAGACAATGATGGGGTGACCAAATGTATTTCACTGTCATAATTGATAGATACTTTGCCTAGGTGAAGAATTATTGGTTAGAAATTATTTTCATTCAGAAATTTGAAATAATTGCTTATTTACCTGCTAGCTAATACTGAGAAGCATAAAGCCATTTTCATTTTGTGGGCTCTCAGTGTTACCTATTTGTTGTGTTTTCCCGCTCAGAGAGCTGTAGAGTCTTTATCCCTGTATTCTAAAATTTTGTAATGATATTCTTTGTGTTGGTTCCTTTCTATTTGGAAACTCTTGTCTTTATGTTCTGGACAATTTATTTTTTATTATTTTCTCCTCCTGCCCCCCCCCTTTTTTGAACGCCTACTTTATTAAGACTTTCTGGGTTTCCTTTTTGTTTTTGTCTTTCCTTCTGTGTACCATAGA